AGGAGTTTTACATTGTTCAAGTTTTGAGTGTTTCCTTGAGTGTTTCACCAATACTGTACAAGAATAGATCTTCTATATCAAGGCTTAATGCAAGATAAATAATGGAGTAAAAAAACACTAGCATGTAATGAAATAGATAGCTGATGGGATTGAATCAGGATTGGAAATCAATGTACTAATGTGAACAGGTTTGAGGAGTTTACATCCTTAAGATTTGTGGCTTATAAAAATTTGATTTACGTCTCTATGTTGCTAGTAGCAACTGAATCTACCCGCGCAACCAGTGCAGACCAAAATCAGCCGGTACATACATACATACATGATCATGGTCTATATTGTTTGCTAATTTAAGGCATTATTTTGAAATTTTCCTTAATATAAATTATGATTGATTTTGTTCAAATTTAAAGATGAAAGGGTCCTTTTAAGATACGTAGTGTGGTTAAACTGTGTACGGGTTAAGATTTGTTTATTAAAACTGAATTTGATAAACTTTCTGTTAATATTAGACTGGAATTTAATTCGGAAGGAATATTTTAATAATCACTATAGTTTTATTCATGCCTTAGCATAATTCTATATTCTGGATCTTTTAAGGAAAAAAGGGGACATAATTATTTCAATTTTAGAGTAATTATACTGAGTAAGCTCCTTTCATTGAAGTTTGGTTGGTGAGTTTGATCAGACAAATGTCTCTACGTTCAGTTTTTTAAGGCTTCTAGACTGTGTCAGAGGATATTTGACAGGAAATTATCTATCTATGTAACTAGTGAAACCTTTTATAACAAGATTGGGGACAGATGTCGCATTAAGACGATTTGAAAAATTGCTTTACCAGTATATTTGCCCTAGATTGTGGTCTGAAACTGAAAGTCTGTAACTGCTATTATATACAGTTGACTCTCGGTAACTCGAAATCCAAGGGACTGGGCATTTTACTTCGAGAGAAACGGAATTCGAGTAATGGAAACTGCCGCCATTACGTTGACATTCGTATATATACATGTGTCTGATTGAATGTACAAAGAAGACAGTTTGTTATTGTTGTTAGCGGCAATGCTGCAATATTTAACCGTTGAAATGACGGTAAATCACTAAAATCTAACTGTTAAAACCAATTAAGTCCTGAAACCGATTAAAGCCAGTTTTACGACGTGTTAATAATGCATGATGACTGGCAATTAAAATTACTATGAAACGTGTAAATCACGAGTCACAACATCTCAACGTTGATGTCGCCGACCTTTGACCAGTCGGCTGTTTTCACATTTCGACTAATTGAGACGAAAATATGTTGGACTTTAATTGACGGGACCAAATTTTCTTTTCAACTAAACAGGAGTCTTGGTAAGTCAAAATTTGACCTAAGCGGAGTTAAAATACAAAGATAAAGAAGGACATTTGACGGGACTTTAGAAATTCTTCGACTTACGCGGAATTTTGAGTAAAGCGATTTCGACTTATTGAGAGTCAACTGTAGTTATATTTTATACTGATATTTGTATATAAAACTGTTAAGTAAATGTTCATGTTTTTATTCAGAATCTGATATTTTTATGTTGCTATAGGAATCATTTGTAAGGAAATAGGTTACAGAATCCAAAATTATTATTAAGCTTAATGTCAGTACAGTACAGTGCAATCTCGGCAGAGGAGACAAATATTTTGGATGTTACTGATAAGTTTAGCTGGAAGAATATTGTAAAGAGGTTATTAAGATGGCTTCTCTGTAGAGGTTGTACTGAATGTTGAGGCTACAGATGCTAAGCACCAAGAAAGGAAACTGACTTAGATTTGCATTGTAGAAAGGGAAAGCGTACCGACTTTGATTTACATTGCAAAAGGTATTTAGATTCTGTTCTAATTTTTGTATTTTATGGCAAACAGGTGGGTAAAGTATTGAATCTAGTTTCCTAACAATTAATCTGATTTTCATACAGTTGCAACAAATTTATGCCTAAAACTGTCAAATTTTATCGAAAATCTGCAAATTTATGGATGAAAGTTAGCTGCTATAATGCATTTTGAGTGGAAATTTCTAATTAAAGATTGCTATCAAGTAGTATATAATTTTCTTTTAATATCTCCTTTGAAACTGATTTTGTTACAGTGGTGAATTTATCGATTATAAATGCTGATACACTGGAATAATTTGTATCTCTATTTTAGAAACTGCTGAAATTAAATTATCAACATTTACTGTTGTTTCATTTTACCCTATTTTAACACATTAAGTACCTTAAACAGTATAAAAAGGTTTTAATATACTTGATATTTGATATTGAATCTCATTCAGTTGATTGGTGATGCTTGCAGATTTTTTTCATAATATTTCAGTATTTTATTTCTTTCTCTTATATTTATATGTCCTTGAAATAGCCTTGAAATAATTATAAACCTTGAAATAACTGTCAAGGAAAACAGAAATGTATTTGAAATTAATTCTGGATTGTAAGCTTTTGGGACTGTTACCTTTTATGGGATAATTGCATTGGATCAGATTCTTAGGGATTCAAGCACCTGGATTTGATTTAAACACATTAAGGCATTCAAAGCCAAAACTTTTAACAGTGCAAACCTGAGATTCTGACACCTACAACAATTAACATGCAATATTCAGAGATAAAAACAGTTACTATCTCTTATGTGTGAACATTGACATGGGATTAGAAATAAAATCAAAGGAAATATGTTAAACTAAATTCATCATACACCTTATATTATAATAGTTGCAATGAATATTTCACATCATTCTGACACCATGTTTGATGTCACATAATGGCATTCCGGTAAATATGTTAATGTTTCTTTAATTTCAATTGTTTTATTGCATTGTAAAATTAATGCTGTTATGATAAACTAATATTTTGTTAAGCATACAAACCCATTTTTAAAACAATGTGAACAAAAATAGATTTTTTATTTTAACTCTTCTTGGAATTGTCATACACTTGTCAGCTGACAATTTTTGTCAAGCTTCATTCAGCATGGTATTTTTTTAAGTCATCAAGTTACATTATTTCAACCATTTGTTTCATTGCTTTTTATGATATCAGTCAAAAAACTAGGCACTTCAAATATTTTGTTTAATTATCTAAGAAACTTTTGGGAATTGAAATTTCACAAGTTCCTGACGTGTGGCAAAGTTGTTAGACTGTCTAATATGTTACCAGTGACCCTACTAACTCATTTAAGAAGAATGTCATTGTCAAATTTCAGAGCAAGATTGAGTTTTTCTGTCATTTTGGTATTATGTTTATTCTCTTATTACTAGAGAGCAAATGGCATAAGGGTCTGACTAAGTGTTTAAAAGAGTCTTCTTGTCATTTTAATGGCATTTACTCTGCATGAAAATAATCTTCATTTTATGCAAATGCCAAAACATTTCCCATCTTAATGGATAGATGGTAATATACTTTTCATCAGTTCAAATTCTTTTGCTTCCATAGAAATATATAATGGTAAACAAGTCTGATAGTCTTAAATTAAAGCATCTGATTGGTTGCCTAATGGTATTTGATTCAAATCCGACCAATGACATTGTTACATTTCTAACCCTGTGATTCATTTTAATTCAAGAAAGTTTTTTTAGCAAAGCTAAGTGTTAAAAAAGGTAATGGAATCCAAATTAATTAATTTATTATGCTTTCTTTGCCTGTAGAAAATTGTTACCAAGCTATTGTGGCAGTCATCATATGACCTCAAATGACCTTTTGTGACTCAAAATGTATTTATACTTTAAAAGATCTCCACTGAGGTCAAAGAGCCTAAAAAAATTTAAAAAAATTGAAATTCTAACAAGTGAAGCACTTACATGGAACAACATACAAAGTATATTAAAAAAAGAAAGAAAAAAAAGAAGAAAAAAACTCACAATTGAATTGAAAATCTATTTTTTGTGTGATTCTTACCCACATTTCAGTGAAAAACAACATTTTTCATTTTTGGGTCATTTTGCACAAATAATGGTTTTTTCTGGAAAAACAGAGTGGGGGAATGATCTGAAAATATACAGACAAGTTCTTGGTCCAAACATCAAATATTTCAAGTTTGTCAAAAAACCTCAGGCAAGAGTCCCTGTTATATGACAATGGCAAACTCTCCATCTCTCTCAGGACGATTAAAGGTTATTCAATTTTTATTACATTGAAATAATCAGAAAAAATATTGTTACTAAGGAACCAGAAGGTTATTTTAGCAGACTTTGCTCATTTTCGGCAGATTAATTTCACATGTTTCCGCAAGAAAACTGTGCTTATTTTGTAATTATAGTAGCAAGTTAACTTGATTATCACACACAGGCTGTTGCCTAAAGGTAAAATTCTTAATGACAATTTGTAGAAAGCGGAAAAAAAAACAGAATATTTTCTGTTTGTAAAGTTCATGAGATATTGAGCTGGGAATTTATATGAAGTATTTGTTTTGATGTAGTTAATTGGACTCTTTGTACATCCTTTTGTGTCTAATGGATGACATTTTCAATATTTTGTTTGTAATATTAAATAAAGACAAAAAATTATATCTAAATGCTACTGTTTGATATTGCATCATTTCTAGCGCACTATGATACATGATCATGAATTTATAATTAATTCATGTATGTATTGATAATTTTGTAGTTTAATATCTCGACATTTGTTTGTAGTATTACACTGTTCATGGCAATGTGAGGTCTTTAACATTTAACAGGAATAAGTTGGGTTTTTTTACAATTTCCTGGAAAAAAGTAGTACTCGAGACCTTGAAGAAAGTAAGGAGATGAGATCTCCAGTGTAAAAAAACACACTAACTTGATATGGTATTACTAGTTTATCCTAGGATTTGTTTCTCATAAGATATATTAATCCCAAGGAAAAGTTCATGGCCACTGGCCTCAACATCAGATGAGCAATATCGTCGACCCACTTGAGAACAAATGTAAGAAATCTGCTACAATAACTAGAAATACAATATTTTGTTTGAATGTTATGTTCAGTTTAGACTTGAATTTCTCATTTCAGGTTGAAAATATAAATACATGCCTGACGTTTCTGGTGAATTTGGGTGTCAACATTGATGGTATAACAGCCAAAGGTAAGACTTAATGTTTTTACTGTTCAGTTAAATAATATATCCCTTTATGACACAAAAAGGAAGCTGTATCTGAATGTATAGATTCTGTTTTAAAAGCCATAAGGTGAGTTTAGGTTACTGGTCATTGTCAAGTGTATTCACCACTTGTCCTGTGGGTCAGTCTGACATGAGGGGTACTATTTTAGATCTGTTTTGATTGTCATATGGAAATGTCATCGTCCTGTCATCACACAGCTATTAAAACAGTTAAAATCTTCTGTGAGTCTTTTACCTTGTTCACTTGTGAAAATTTACAGGTTTTACCACTTGTTTTTGTTTTTAGCTCACCTGTCACAAAGTGACAGGGTGAGCTTTTGTGATCGCTTTTCGTCCGGCGTCCGTCCGTCGTCCGTCCGGCGTCCGTCCGTAAACTTTTGCTTTAAATGACATCTCCTCATAAACCACTGAGCCAATTTCATCCAAACTTCACAGGAATGTTCCTTTGGTGGTCACCTTTAAAAATTGTTCAAAGAATTTAATTCCATGCAGAACTCTGGTTGCCATGGCAACCGAAAGAAAAATCTTTAAATATCTTCTTTTAAACAACCCTAAGAGCTAGAGCTTAGATATTTGGCATGTAACATCTTCTAGTGAGTGTCTACCAAGTTTGTTCAAATAAAAGCCCTGGGGTCAAAATTGGCCCCGCCCCAGGGGGTCATTGATTTTCCCTATATGCATATAGTAAAAACTTAAAAAATCTTCTTTTAAAGAACCCAAAGAGCTAGAGCTAAGATATTCAGCATGAAGCATCTTCTAGTGAGTGTCTACCAAGTTTGTTCAAATAAAAGCCCTGGGGTCAAAATTGGCCCCGCCCCAGGGGGTCATAGATTTTCCCTATATGCATATAGTAAAAACTTAAAAAATCTTCTTTTAAAGAACCCAAAGAGCTAGAGCTAAGATATTTGGCATGAATCATCTTCTAGTGAGTGTCTACCAAGTTTGTTCGAATAAAAGCCCTGGGGTCAAAATTGGCCCCGCCCCAGGGGGTCATAGATTTTCCCTATATGCATATAGTAAAAACTTAAAAAATCTTCTTTTAAAGAACCCAAAGAGCTAGAGCTAAGATATTTGGCATGAATCATCTTCTAGTGAGTGTCTACCAAGTTTGTTCAAATAAAAGCCCTGGGGTCAAAATTGGCCCCGCCCCGGGGGTCATTGATTTTCCCCTAATTATGCATATAGTAAAACTTAAAAATCTTCTTTTAAAGAACCCAAAGAGCTAGAGCTAAGATATTTAGCATGAAACATGTTCTAATGGGTGTCTACCAAGTTTGTTTCAAATAAAAGCCCTGGGGTCAAAATTGTTCCCGCCCCGGGGGTCATTGATATTCCTTATATGTGTATGGCAAAAACTTAAAAATCTTCTTTGAAAAAACCCATATAGCTAGAGTTTATATATTAAGCATGAAACATATTCTAATCAGTGTCTACAAAGTTTGTTCAAATAAAAACCCCGGGGTCAAAATTGGCCCTGCCCCGGGGGTCATTGATTTGCCTTTTTTGTGTATAGAAAAAACTTAAAAATCTTCTTTGAAAAAAACCCAAATAGCTAGAGTTTAGATATTAAGCATGAAACATCTTTTAGTAAATATCTAGTTTGTTCAAATAAAAGCCTGGGGGTCAAAACTTGCCCTGCCCCAGGGGTGTCATTGTTTTTAACTATATGTGTATAGTAAAAACTTAAAAAATCTTCTTTTAAAAAACCCAATGAGCTAGAACTTAGATGTTTAGCATGAAACATCTTCTTATGTATGGGTGTCTACCAAGTCTATTCAAATAAACAAATAAAAGCCCTTGGGTAAAAATTGGCCCGGGGGGGGGGGGGGGGGGGGGGGGGGGGGGGGGGGGGGGGGGGGGGGGGGTGGGGGGGGCTATATACAGGTGAGCGACCTCAGGGCCATCATGGCCCTCTTGTTTGTTTTTGGGGTGTTACGTCACATCGACACAGTATAGGTCATATCGCGACGTTTCAGCTTTACTGTTGGCGGAAGACCTCAGGTGCCCTTCCATGCATTATTTCAGGCACGAACGGGCACCTGAGTAGAACCACCGACGTTCCTTAAGCTAGCTGGATAGCTTCCTCACATGAAAAAATCCAAAGTCCCTGTCGGGAACCACTAATGGTTTTACCACTTGTTTGGTTTTACCACTTGGTTTAACCAGTCTGTTAATGTGTAATGCCACTAGCCTTGAGAAGATATCAGTTGTTTTGGCACTATGAGGTTACATACTATTGTAGTTTTCATAGTGAACTACCAAAAAAAAACAGTTTCTTTATATCATAAATATAAAATACTTTAAATAATAATAATAAAAAAAAAAACAGCATAAAAATACATATAGCATTTCTTTGAATGAATTTTATTGCTTGGTAAACATGTATCATCAATAAGAAGGATGTTTAACTTTCTCATCTTTTGAAATACATAAAGATCCCAGAGCAAAAACATATGTTTTATTGTCTTATATTAGAGAAAAATGTTTTTTGTTTATAGTTGAAGAGATAATAAAATAGAATCATGCCATATTTCCATATTTGTTCATTTAATTGAACAAAATTTATCTTTCCATTAAAAGAATGTCACTCAGTTTTCTAATGAAGGGTTATATCGGAAAGAATTCAAGTAAATATGGGACAAAGAAATGTCTAATCACTTTCAGCTTGATGAACACGATTGTTTTGTTTCTTAGGGTTTTATTTTACATTAAGAAAAGTTAAACAAACTACTTCCCTTATGTTTATACCCTCATAAACATTGGTTCCATTAAAGTAATGATTGAGTTGCAGTCTACAATGATGTTTGGCATATTAATTTGCCTGTAATAAATATTTTCTGTTTATTTCGCTGAAAAACCATATTAATGATAACAAAACTGTCGTGTATTTTTTCAGACATACGTGACGGAAACCTGAAGGCAATACTCGGTTTGTTCTTTAGTTTATCTCGACACAAACAACAGCAGAAGACCCAACAACAACAACAAAAACAAGAGCGTCAACATCAAGGGGAGGCCACTGATAATCACAGTAACAGTAAATCCGGAAACTTGGTCAACGGTGAAGAAAACCAATCCAGGTGTGTAAATAAACCAAATTTTTGTTAAAGTTTCTTTTATGGTATAGTTCCTTTGAATTAATGCAGGTATGGACATACATGGCTGGGTGGTTGAGGTTGGTGACTTCAAACCACTTGCCCCTCACTTTGGATTCTTTCATGTGAGGAAGCTATCCTGCTAGCTTATGGAATGGTGGTTGTTCTACTTTGGTGTCATTTCATTGCTAAAATAATGCCTGAGGTCTTTCTCCACCAGTAAAGGTGGAAAGGCACCATATGACCTATACTGTGTTGGTGTAACTTATGTTAATGCAGGAAAGTGATGCAGGCACCCACCTGAAGCAGATGAAATGATTTAATTACAAGCAAACTTAGTAAAGGTGACATATTAACCACCCATACTTACAATCTAGGCTGATACTGTAGTGGAAACAGTATTAAGCAAATTAAGCATTTTAAGCAAATTTGAATTGAGTAATATAAGAAAACACCCAGCACTTATTTGTTTACTTGAATTTTGAGCCACAACTTGGAATCAAACCCAAATTACCTGTACCATTCTTCTTTCATTCAGAAAGTTAAGGTTTACTTAATAAGGTTATTTCCCTTAATAATAAAAAAATTACATAGTAATTAATGTTGTTCTTTTGTTTGTTCCACTGGCGAATCCATGGGTCAAAATTTCTCTGTGACAGTTGAATGTAAAGGTCATTTGTCTCAGAAATCATGTATGATTAGTACTCAGTCACTTGCAGAGAATTAGGTATTTATCCACAAAAGTTAGGTGGACTGGAATCCATGATATGACCAAAACTGTGTTAAAATTAGCGTTAAAACCAAACAAAACTGTCTCTAGGGAACATTATTATTATTAATATGGTACCATTAACATTAGTCTTGTCTTTTCAAGTTTGTGTACAATCATTTTCATCCATTTTTTAGCCCTTTTTTACAGAAATTACATGAGATATTTTGAATACATGTTCTTTATTTATTGATACAATGTATTATGATAATTTTTTTATTTTTTTTGGTTGAAAATGTGATTAAGAGAGAAGACAGCCATCCTGCCTACATCACATCTTCTATAAATTAGGTTAAATCATTACCCACAGTTTATCTGGTGCTTTAATGGAGCCATTTAACAATCTTATAGGAAAAGAAAACATTATGTATTGTTGAACTAGAGATGTATAAAGGGAGATTACTCTTCTCTTTAAACACCTTATTTACTCTGCAAAGGGACATAATCCTATTATATCAAAATCTGACTCAGGGGTGTTTTTGTTTGGTCAGCCTGACAGATTATTTGAAGAAGCTTTTTATATGAGCAAAGGAGATTGCCTTTTGAGAAGCTTTGTCAATATTGATTCACTTATTTAATTATTCTTATGTGGGTCTAGTTGCTAGCTTTATGGACAAATTTAGCAGTCTACCACCTCCACATGTAACAGAAATATAGCGAACAGATGTTGAAATAGAGTGGAGAGAACAGTTTTCACTGCAGTATAATTATTAAACACCTAATATTATCCTGTAAATCTTTCCGTTCAGGACAAAACTAGTTTTAATTTTACTCCCTGTCTGAAACATATTTTTCAAAGTCAAAATGTATAATTATGAACTTAGGATATTTGAAATGTACTTTTAGATGATTCTTTTAAATGAATTACAGATAATAATGATAATAATAATAATAATGATAATAATAAACACTTTATTTCATGAAGGTAACCTATTAGAAAATACATGCTTATTTACAATATGGCCTTCAATTAAACAAGGGAAAGAAACCCTCAAATATGTACACAAATATAAAAATAGAAACAACAAACTTGTAAATTGACCGAACATGCATTCATCAGATTAATTTAAATTGTAGATCTATATCAAGTAAATATTTTTTCATATTTCTTGTAAAAACATATAGAAAATTCGTAATATAAATTAATAAATTAATTGAAGGTAAAAACAATAAAACTGCACAATCAAAGAAAACCTTGTGATATACGATTACCACATTTAAGTGAGAGGCATTGTTTTATCAGACAAGGGCTTTATTATGTGTTTAAACTAACATCAAGACAAGAGTTTCTTTTGGATCTGACAACACTTTAGTTACTGTAATATTAGTAGCATAATCAATATTATTTTATGACAGTTAATTGACTTTGCAAATATCATTTGAAATTTTAGACTGATTTTTAACACAGATGGCCTAAACAAAAATATTATCATTGGAGTGGAATACAAGTTCTGTATTGATTAAGTTGTTATAAAGTTGACTGATTGCTTAAATTAAAGTTTTGTGTGTCCGGGGACACAGTACCAGCATCATGTTTGAAGTTCCAGCAACCCATCTGTCAAATCTTGAGCTGCAACTATTCAATAATTATATTAATATTGATTATTGGAATTCCATTCTAAACCCAATTCTTTTATTTGTACATTATGTTTAAATGTTAATTGTAAAACGGAATAAAAGATTTTGTTAATTAGCTACCAAAAATGTTAGCTCATTACGCCCAAAATAGAGTGATATCTAAACATAACGTTAATCTTTGTATTTGCCTAGATTATGTGATTAATGTATACATAAGTATAAGATATTAAAACATGGCTATAACTGATTAAATTTTTATGTTGCACAGTAAACATGAATTGGTAAACATTAAATACATGACTGTTAACATTTAAGTTAAATACGAAAATTGATTAGCAGATTTTAATGACAATTATTGAACCAATTTAAGTCAAATTGAACGATATTAATTGTAATTTAATTGTTATTTAATTTGAAATTGCATCTTTTTAGTAGTAACTGATATGCAGTATTAAATTAGTAACTGCTTCAATAACCACAAAAATTTCAATGGAGACAAGGTTATGCCTGAATGGAGTTTAACCATTTGAATTAATTAAGCTGCCGGCAAATAAAAAAAGAAACAATACTATGTAAACAATCCCTTGTAAAGTAAATAAAAATAATCAGGGGCAAAGATTTTAGGGCATATAATTAATTTAACATGTATTGAGTTTATATTGATTTTATATTTATTAATAAAATATGGGGACCAAGTCTGTATTATTCAAAGGTCAGGTATATTGTGGGAATTATTTCACTGTTATTCGTTACATCCTTTGATCATAGCAAAAATGTTTAAATATTGACAGCCCTTGTCTTAATACTTTCAGGTCATGCTGGTTTTAAAATGATTGTTAGATCAGTAAACCCTTCAGTTTGTAGATTGGTTATCAGGTTAGATAAATAATCGTTTTGATTAATTTCATTCATTTTAAAACAAAGTTTTTTGTCTGAAGTCACTTGATGCAAAGGAAATTAGTGATAAATTTTGTCCTTAGAGAAATTCTCATTTGAAAAATATATTTATAAGATAAAAAAAAAACTACAATAGTGAAAAAATATGCATTTTCTTCTCCCTTTGTTTGAGAGAGAGAAAAAGAAAAATGAAGAAAATATTGAGAAATGCCTCTGTCTTAATCATTCTAAACTGTTTGAATTTATGCCATAGAAAAAAATATATTAAAAACACACAGATTTGAATGTAAAAATCAATTAAACTTATCTCAAAATCAATTTTGTTTAAGAAGGTTGTTTGTAATAAAACATCAATTTTCTCATGCATTAAGAAAATACTGATTAAATTAAACATGTTTTCCTGTCACATATTTGCATTTTATAATTAAAAGTTATAAAATTGTCATATTTTGTTGACCCAACCCCTTTATACACAATGCTCCACATGGGGTCAAACAATATACATGTCTGTTAAACACTTAACATACACTGGTTCAACTGTCTGCTGGCATAATAATTACATCATAATTAATATCTGTTAATTGCCATTATATTGAAAACTATTATCTTAACATGTCATCAAGTGTCAATCAAAACCCAGATATAAACTTTCACTACTCTTAAAATAAACCTAAACTTTCTTTATATCACATGGCTTCTATTAATAGATCACAAAAATCCTTATCTTGATACATGTGAAAGTTTAAATTCCTTACAAAGGGAAAATTGAGAAAAGGAATAATAAAGTGTAATAAAAACAAAGCCATAATTATCATTCACTTGGATTGGTTTACGTTTTATATACCTGCGTATAGATGGATAGCCGGTAAGTGTTTATTTAAGGTTTGATCTATAGCAGTTTATCACATTAAAATCTTTAGTGTGGCGGTAATAAAAGCATGAAGGGGTTTTTAGTCAGAAAGACAAAATTTAAATAAGGTCGGAAGTTGAGTCAGGTTAACCACACAGTTCAGGGTCCGTGAAGTTTTTTTGTGTGTGTGTTCAAATGACAAAATACAGATGGATAGTAACAATGATGGGTCGGTTAGCCCGTTACTCGTGACATGGCGTAAAACTTTAAACAATATGAATAAAAGCAGGTAAAAAAAATTTTTTTGAATTTTCAAATTTTGTTATTTTTTAATAATGCACACTTGCTATTGTTTAAGGGGACTTAATTGTTTTCTTGTTAACTTCATTATAATATTATTTAAAAAAATGTTTGTTTATATATTATGATATTAGATTTTGAAAAAAAAAAGAAAATTATGAAATTATGACAATTTTATCGTACAATGGTAATTATGCATATAATGCAGTTTTAAGAAACTTTAAACATTTAGTTTTCAAATATTTCACCTTACTAAGATTTACCATTAAGTAAAAATCAACATAATACACCTTAAAAGTTCATTATTACCAGCTTAGTGTCACTGAACCTGTCTTAATTGGTGCAAAAATTGGCTACTTTAAAGATTTTATCTTCATTGAGACACAATAGTTACTGAAATATTTGTTGAATCTGTTAAATTATTTTGACTAGTGGCATACGTGATTGACATATACCCCCCTCCCACCTTCTGTTGAACCAGTCGCCAGTCACAAAAAATAAACAAAATTTGTCTTTCATTTAAAAACTGATTTAATTTGAAATTAATGAATATCTAAGATTTTGTTAGTTTTATAAAAGATACATGAAGGA